ATTGGATTTGAAAAGAAACTTATTACAAAAACAGAGTATGGATCAAAACTACCAAATATCACAAATTCGATTGATGTGTTAAATATCAACACAACCGTAATAACTAATAGTATTGTAAATGGAATAAATACTAATACTATTGCTGTGGTACCAACAGACAATCTTACAAGGTCTTATCCATTTACTTTTGAGCCTAAAAGACCTTTGTATTGTCCTTTATCTACATTTTACATTGATGAAATGAGAATCTATGTGACAGACTCACTTGGAAGACCAGTAAATTTTAATGGAATAGATTGGTTTATGACTTTGATACTTCACTCGATGTAATATAACTATTAAAATAAAATGATGAGACAATCAGAGTTTAAAATGAAACTTGACCCTGAATTGGGTAGATATACAAGACAACATATTTATGGAGAAGGAATGATGGATATGTTTAAATCGGTTGGTAAAAAAATATTTGGAAAGACAATGAAAAAAGCTGCTAAAAAGGGTGCTCAAAAAGCGGTAACAGCAGCTGCAACAAAAACTGGTGAACATGTAGGCAAAAAGGCTGGTGATAAGATAGTTAAAATGTTATCTAAAGAAAAAGTTGCAAACCCTACTAAAAAAGTTACTTTTAATAAAAATGTTAAGTTAATTCCAAATAGGGGAACCTATGCAAACACTCAACAAGAAGCAAATGATAATGGGCTTTCTATTCTTAGTGGAGGTTCAACACGTAAGAGAAAAATTATATAATTATTAAAATAAAATGAAGTCTTTTAGAAATCCAAAATATTTAGAAAGATATGAAGATGTTGTTTTTGACCTTGAACAGGCTTTAGCAACACCTGCAAATAATGCTCATCAAAATAAAACAAATTATAGATTTGTTGCTGATAACACAGGAGAAACTACTCCTTTTGATTGGTATAACGCGCGATTTTCAGTAAAATTCAAAGTTCAACTTTTAGATGGAACTGATTTTAACAATAATAATCCCCAAGCAGGAATAGTAAATGGAAGTAATTCTCTCATAACAAGGTTATCTATCGAAGCAAATGGTAGAGATGTTTACGGTTGCAATTATGCTAATCATGTAGTTAATATTAAAAATTTGCTTGAGTATAATCCTTCATATATTGAGAGTATTGGCACAAATGAATTTTATTATCTTGATAAAACAAGAAATGCAAATTCAACTAGGTTCACAACAAGACAAGTTCAACATGGAGCTAATGATCTTGGTAATGGTTGGGAAGCAAGAAATTTTGTTGATGGAAATAATTCTAATTTCAACGAAGGTTTTGCAGTAAGAAGAGCGCTAATAGGTAACTCATTAGAAATTAGTTGTGATATTCCTCTTAACAGATATTCTTTCTTTGAATCTCTTGAGGACAAACTTCTTCCAAATACAAAACTTGAGCTAAATATAGAACTAGAATCAGATGCTAATCTTATCTGGAGAACTGGAGGTAATGCTTGTAGAGTTGTACTAACAAAATTTCAACTATTTGTTCCAAAATTAACATTTAACTCAGAAGGACAAAAACTATACATGGAAAATTATCTTAAGCCCTACAAATGGGTGTACCTCAATGAAGTAGTAGAACGATCAAATAACACTCAACAGCAAACAGGTCATTTTAGAATTACAAATGCAATCTCAAAACCTCGCCATGTTTTAGTTTTTGGAATTAACGCGGCAAATATTGATTCACAAACAGCAAATCCTTTTCTTTACAATACTTTTAATCTACCAAACAATGCTAAAATGTCTCGCTGTTATCTCGAGGTTGGAAATGGAAATGAGTACCCTGATATTCATTTTAAACCAAATACAGATCCAGCAAGAGTTTTCAGAGAAGTAATGTCATACGTTTATGCAAATAACGACTTTCAAGGTGGAACACTACTTAATAGATCAAATTTTGAGTCTTTGTTCCCGTTTGTTTACTTTGACCTAACAAAACAAAAATTGGATATAAAAGATGGAGCTACAAAATTAGCATTTCACTACGAACTATCTGCTAATCCAAATGCTGATTACAATTTATACGCTTTAGTCTTACATGAAAGAATAGCAGAAATCGAACAGCAAGGAGGAAAACTATTGCTACGTGCTTAATCTAATACTAAATATAAATAATGTTAAAAATACTAGGTATTAAACGATTAACTCCATCTCAAGAAGAAGTATTTAAAAAATTATTTAAAAATAAAATAGGAATATATAAACCAAGTATTACTTTTCTTACTATTAAACAAAAAAGGGATTTCGAAAAAAGATGTGTAGAA